GTAGGCCTTTCTCAGCAGAGACGTACCAATGGTCAAAGCGTGTGAGAAGAGTGTACTCGATGGCAGTAAGGTTCAGGGAAACGTAACTCCAGCCGAGTGAGGCGCCAACTCACCCGGGTTGGAAGGGTTATTACCAAAAGACAAAAAATAATAAATGCTGGCCAGGCTGCAGAGGGAGCACAGGCGGGCGCCGAGGTAAACGGCTCAGCTGCGGAGCTTCCTCTAAGAGCTGGGGTCCCCCTGCCCTGTGCCCCACAGCGGAGGCGTCAGTGTGGGCGCAGGCAGCCACGCCCACGTTCACCGACGCGCCAGGGGCTCAGGGCGCCCCCTGGTGACGGGGACGCAGACGGCGGCGCTGCCACACGGAGGTCGGCCACGCGTCTTTGGTGGCAACCTGGGGGACCGAGGGCGCCTGTCCAGGAGACCGGCTGGGCACATGCGGAGACGCGGATTTAAGTTACTCGATGGTGTAGAAGTAGAGAAAGCAACAGGGCCTGGAGAGGATTTGATTTCTGATCAGGGGCTCTTCGTGGAGTGCAGTTCTTGTGTCAAAAGACAGAGCAATGCTGCAGCCTTCGCGCCCTTTTCCTGGAAAGCCTGCGCGAGGAACCGACCGGGGGCCTTGGAGTATTTACCTTTCAGTCCCACGGCCCCTTTGTGTGCGGACCTAGAGGTGGAAATCAGGGAAGTGTGAGACCCGCCCAGGCTCTGCAGCTGAGCTTCGGTCCTGTGTGCGGGCCTGGGGTCACGCGGCGGCACTTCCTGGCCCCGCTCCTTTACTCGTGCTTCCTTGGCCACCGTCAGACTGGTCCACTCGTGATCCTTCAAAACTGGACAGCTGCTTAAGTGTGCTCAAGACATGTGGGCCACGTGAGGCTGCTGGCTCCCCGGGCCCCTCCGGGGCCCCCGCTTTCCTCACGGCGCCCCACCCCTTCAAGGGAGACGCATTCCTTGACATCATGACTTTATTTCATTGTGAATGATATCTTTCCCCCATAGTACTGTTTCCTTGATATTTTTAATAACATAAACTATTAATTTTTATATAGTTTACTTTGTATATAGTGACTTTATTGAATTTCCTTCTTAATGAAAATTTCCCCAATGATTTATTTTCTTGAATTTTCTCTTCTGTTCTCTTTTTTATTACAAAAAGACTTTCAAACATGGAAAAAAGCATAACATAATGAATACTTATGTGCTTATCAACAAACTTAATGACTGTTTACATTTTCTTGGAACGTTGCCCCCAAACACAGAAAGGAAGCATCACTGACAGATGAGACCTCTGGTGTGCACCTCCCTGGCACCGATCCCTTCCCTTCCTCTCTCAGAGGTGATAGTGAATGAAAAATTCCTTCCTAGCCCTCTGCTGGGTTTCTACGTGCTCCTTATATTTTAGCTAAAATTATACTATTATTATGTGTGAACTATTATAAAACTAGGCATGGTGGTGCAGTCCTATAATGCCAACGTCAGGAAGCTGAGGCAGGAGGATCAAAAGTCTGAGCCCAGCCTGGTCAACATAGCACCTTAGTGAGACCCTAAAACGTAAAACCAGGGCTAGGGATGTAGCTCAGTGTGAGAGCCTTGGGTTCAATCCCCAGCATGGAAGGGGGAGGGAGGGAGGGCGCAGGGGAGAGGGAGAGGGGAGGGATGGTGGGATTCTGTGCTGTCAACAGTGCCCCGCTGTGATAGCTGCCATTCGAAAAAGCAGCTGCCTCACTGGCGTGCGCCCAGAGTCTCACAGGAGTTCCTGTCTGTGAGACGTTTCAGAAGCTCGCCTCACTCCTCCGGGCACAACCGTGAGATCCGTCGGGAGCAGGCTGCTTCTGGCCTTTAGCACAACTTCCAAAGCTGTTTGGGTGAGAGGGCCATGGATTCATTTCTGTGCTTTTCATAGCAGCTGCATAGTGAGCAGCCTGACCTGCAGCGAGAGCCAGGAATGTTTAAATGGAGGTGACTGAAGAGGGAGAAGACCTGAGCGCCTGTCTCGGGAGTGACTTCCCAGAGGAGGAGCCACCTCTGCTCCCACCCTGCACCGGCAGCCGCCCTGGGGTCCCCATGCTGGGATCTGCACAGACCTCTTGTCGGAACCAGACCACTCATAGGGCTTTTCGCTGCATGCTTTTCCTCCAAATGTCTCCAGACTATCCTCTGAGCAGGTTTCTTCTATCTTCAGCCCAGCTGATATTGAAAACAAACACCATTAATTTTTGTTGTTGTTCTGAATATCGAACCCAGGGTCTTCACACTGAGCTACATACCCAAGATCCTCCTTCCTCAGCCTCTCAGAATGCTAGATCATAGCACACACCATATGCCTAGCTAAAAATCGAAAGGGCTGGCAGAGAAACACATTTGAAGATGCTTTGGTGGCTGGCTCCTGGTGGCCTTCCATGGAGGGAGGGTCTGTTGCCAAAGGTCATCATGAACATTAGTCACCTACAGGGATAGGGCACAGTGGCTGCCCTGGACCCTGGGAGCCACTGCCACATAAGAAAACTTTCCATTGGTTTCTCTTTCACAAGGCTGAGGTCTTGAATATGCTGCCTCGTCTGGACGCAGGCCACAGGCTGCGGCAGGGCAGGGGTTCCGGCTCTCCCCCAGCGCTGGGCCATGACCGAGAGAAGAGAACAGAGCTGTGATCTGACCTGGGCCAGGGAGAGCCGTTCTGTACACATCCTGTCTGCTTTGGGAAAAAGAAATTAAGGAGACAATCAATTACCAGGAATCCGAAACCAACTCCTTACCTTCCCTGTAGGTAGCAGTCTTGGTCAGGGCCTCTGAATTTTCTGGGATCGTCGTCCTCTGCTCTACTCAGGGGGCCGAGAGTCCTGAACCCCAGTGTGTCCTTCAGAACTGTGGGCGCTGTCCTCGCCCTTCCTCTGACAGCGCTGCTGGGAAGGGCTCGTCGGGACCAATGACAGTGAAGACCCCAGGAGGAGCCGCCTGGGCGGAACCGGGGCACCGTCTCCCGGTCCCTTCTCTCGAAATCTCTGTTTTGCTTTCCTTCCTGAGAAGCGTCCCGGTGGTGGGACTCAGACTTGGGTTTCGGATGCCAGGTTCTCTGTGCTCGGAAGGAGACAATGAGGCTCCCTCCCGATGTTGGGGCAAAGCAGGATGGGCTGGGCAGCTGGATTAGGAGTTGGGATGCAGAGCCTTTCCTGGACCGGCGCAGGCCTTGCCCATGGCCACCTCCCAGGAGCCTCAGTGGTGTGGCTGCAACGTGTATCATTCAGCTCTGCACTGCTGGGACCAAGACCCCGGCACAGCACCCAGCTCGAGGGAGGAGGGCTTACCTCTGGTTCACCGTTTCTGACGGTTTGGTCCATGGTTGTCTGGCTCTGAGGCAGAAACACACGGATCTGTGTGGCTATGTGGAGGCAGCAGGGTGGCAAGGTGCTTGGAGGAGCTGAGAGCCACTGTGAGCTCCCAGCCAAGCCAGCTGGCGGCACTGGGGCCTCCCTCCTGCTGCAGGATGAGCCCTTTCCTGTCCCACAAAGAAAGGGGCTCGGTTCTTTTACAAGTGGTGGCGGTGATGTTTTCCTTTCATTGCCAGTTCATGTCGCATGTGGGGACTATCATTGAGTGTTTTGCTAAGACATGGTTTTTATCACTCATGTACGCCCCGTAATTGACCTCGCCATTGTCTTTGAATGCTTTTCTCTTGTAAATAACTCTGAGTTGAGCCTCTATGCCTGCCAATTTCCCCCATCCTTGGGGTGAGGTTGCTGACCGAAGGGAGGGGGTGTGAAGACTTTAGATACATTTTCCTCTGTTGCTGTCTGAGTTGTGCTCATCAAGGCTCCAGCAGCAGGGAAGGGGACCGTGGCCTTACGAGTGCTTGTGGGATGAGGACAGGCTCACTCAGCCCCCTTTAGGGCCAGCCTGGGCCAGCTGCAGTGGAGCAGGTGGGGTCCCGCGCGATGTCACACAGGAAGTGCTTCCTCCCTTCACACACAGACTTCGCTCCTGGGGACCAGGAGGCACTGAACCGCACGCAGGAAGCCAGCCAGCAGGAGGCCATCGATGGACTCCTCTCTGCAAGTGTGGGGCTCTGGGAGTCCCGGGGACCAGAGGGAGGGCAGCCAGTACCTGGGTGTAGTAAGGGCGGCCTCAGCCCCGTAACCAGGTGTAGTAAAGAGCGGGTGCATGCAAACCTGGGCATCATAAAGAGGAGGTACACTTCGTATCCAGGCATAAAAAGGAGGGCACAGCCCAGCACCCAGGTTAAGTAAGGAGGGTGGCACCCCAGGGCCCAGACACATGCCAGGTCTGGGTATCCTCTGCCCAGGGGAAGATCCTGCCCACCGCTGCTCTTGGGGTCATTGCGTTCTCTTTCTCCACTCACTGGCTGTGAGTGGCCAGGCACAGTGGAGGAGAGGTCATAGTCCAGCTGTCTGCTATGGTGCCCGACAGCCAGGGGCAGGGCAGACCTCTGGTGTGCAGATGCCAGGTCCCCGGGGATGGAGCCTTCATCCCAGGCTGAGAGAAGGGACACTGCAGAGTAAGATGCTGACCACTGTGGAGGACGGGTCACCTCTGTCCACAAGGCGAGAAGGGGCCGGGCCAGGAAGGCAGGAGAGCACACTGGGTGACTCAGCCACAGTGGAAATAGGACAGGGCCAGAGATTCCAGGCCCCAGAGACAGGATGTGAGGTCGAGGGTGGCATCTCTGTCCTGTGTAAAGGCTCCCCGGTGGCCTTTCTGTGGTCCCGTTCTGTGGAAAGGTAGCTGGTGGCAGAGGAGTGGCTGGACAGGGCAGAGAGGAAGGGACTGAAGTCATGACACAAAGACGTCTTGTAGTTAAACACATTTGTAGCAAAGGGAACAGCAGAAAAGCCAGGGAAGAGCTGGGCAGAGAACTTGAGGAGCTCGTGGTGGGCAGAGGTGGAGCTGGAGGTCAGGGTAGTTGTCACTGCGGAGAACGCTACACAGCCAAGGATGTCCCAAACATTAGAAAAATGTCATTACTGCTCCCTCACCTAGGACAGCCGAAGGGCCAGCGTGATCTATGATCTTTCGGGGCCTTTTATTAAGTTTTCATCGCTGTGCTGTTGAGCTATCCACCACCTCGGGGAACATTTGAGATTTGAATTTGAAAATGAGATTCACAAAATTGGATATTCTTCATATATGTTTTTCTCTTTCTCTAACTCCAAATTGAAGCAAAAGGTTATAAAGGACGGGATGTCGGAGTCCTCAGACTTCAGCCGAGAGAGCAGATTTTTGGTTCCCAAGCAAACAGCTGGGAGCTGGCTCCCCGTTTGTCACCTGGAATGTGGACTCCCCTGGTCCGTCCCCGGCCTGCAGGAAGAGCTCGCCCAGCTGGGTCTTCCCCCGGCTCTGTTCAAGCCTAGGGCACAGGACAGCTTCGCGGGGGGTTCTGAGGGCGAAGAAGCCAACAAATAGCACAAAGGGTGGGGTGTTTTGCTCAGTGCTGCCGCCGCCTGCCTCACAAGCACAGGGTCCCGATTTCAATCTCTGGTACCAAGAAAGACAAGGCACAAGGGTGCTGTGATGGGGCAGCAGGGCCAGAGCCAAAGGAAATTCGCAGAGACCGGGCAAGGAGACGCCTGGATGTGAGGCAGGCTCACCAGGCCCTGCAGGGAAGTGGGCGGATCCAAGCGTCCCCTTCAGCAACACAGTCCATCAGAAAACCGCCAGTAGGTGTTGAATCCCTATCATGGATTAGCAGGAGCTTGGCTGACTTGAAAAATAAGAATTTTGAAAAAACACATCATTACCTTTGCCCTCAAACTTCCAGTCCTGTAGCTCAGGAGGCAAACTGAACACACATGACAGGCCACACCCACACGCAGACACACCCACCCACGCACACGGTGTCCCTGTAGCCCCTGACCCTGTGAACATCAAGTGGCACCGGACGCTTCGGAACCTGTAATGCTAAGATGATTCCAGAAAATTCTAAATTATCTTATGCAACTCCAGGAGCATTTGGGGACACAGTATTTAGTGAATTGACTTTGGAGAATTCTTTATGTGAGTCAGTGGTTTGGGGGAAATATTCATTTTTAAAAATCTACATACATATTAATTACCCAGGGATTCTTTTAGAACGGGAAATAGGAACAGAGGGAAATAGGAGCAGAATCTCCCTCCCTCTCCCTCTGCCGAGTCACTTTGGATATTTCACTGAATCCTGCTGAAAAGCAGTCAGCTATTGCCATCTGTCCGAAACAGCTGCGATTTTCTTCCTATCTGAGTACAGCACTTTGTTAAGGAGAAATTGGCACACTGCGCTTTTAACTCGCTTTCTCACATCCTGGTCCGTGGCTGCACTGACCCTGCAGGAAGTCTCTTCACGTCCCGGCTCCTGTCGGGTCAGAAGAACGCACGTGACACCGTGTGCTTCCTCTCCCCACGTTAGCAGTGACTTGCTTTGCCAGACTCTGATGCTTTTGATGCGAGACAGCTGTGCCAGTGTTATTTATGAATAGAAGTGAAGTGGATAAATACCCACAGGACTTCCTGTTAAATGTATTGGATTGAATGCCAATATTTATCTCTGCTCCTTGTGAAATTCTGTTAGGATGACAGAAGGGAAAAAAAAGGTACAAATCAATAATGAGGCTGAGAACAGGAAAGATGATCTCATTAAATAAGAAATATTGACAAATGTTGGAATCTGGAAACATAGAGATAAGTGGGAGCAAATTCATCAGAGCTGAGACAGAGTGTTGAGGACAGGGGATCAATAAATGGGTCGCTGGGGGTTTCAGAGCCCAGGAGGGGTCCTGCGAGGCTGGAGAAGAACCGGGCTTTGTGCGGGACGTCGGAGGAGTCAGCGTAGGGACCGCGAGCCCCCAGCCTCTGCTGCCCTCACCTCCAGCCGGCCCGGCCTCCTCCTGCAGGAGCCTGGAGAGTCTCTTGGAGACACTCAGCCGGTCTCCTTCGCAGCACCGGGCACAGCAGAGGCTGGGGGAGGACACAGGTCAGCCTCATGCTCGGTCAGTGGAGGGGAGCCCTGGGCTCCCAGAATGCAGGATGACAAGCTGTGGCTCCAGCTCACGCAGCTGGTTCGTCTCTGCTGTCCTTTGGATCTTAAATGTCTCAAGGCCTACATGCTTATGCCAGAGAAAATGTGTGTGTGTTGCAGGCTTGGACTCCACTTGGAGGTGGTGAAAACCTTAAAGATGGGGCCTAGTGGGAGGTCATCAGATAACTGGGGCTGTGGCCTCACAAAAGGGATAGCAAGAGCCTGGCTTCTCTCTCCCTGCTTCCCTCCCTGCCTCTTTTTTGGCTCCTGAGGTGAGCAGATTTACTGCCTTGTGTGCTGCATGCTCAGAAGGAACAAGCTACTCCACCATGGACTGAAACTTCTAAAACCATGAACCCAAATCAAACTTGTCTCTTTATAAGTTGATCATTTCCAGTGTTTTTCACAGTGAACAACCACTGACCCACTCGGGGACGCAGAGGAGTTGTCTGCTTTATTGGCACATTGGCCTACACAGCACCAGATTCTGAGCACTGGCAGAGCCACTGAGTGTGGCTGCTGGCAGCCATGCACCATGCCCAGAAGAGGAGGTGACACATGGCAAGGGCCACGTGACTGTACCACACCACACAAACTTTACTATTATGGTTACATTTATCTCTGTGTTGGGGTGAGGCTACACACATCACAGAGTAGACCAATATCCAGAGTCCTCAAGGCCCCCAAAAGCAGGCCTAAGGTCAACAAAGCAGAGAGATTCGTCCACAGCTGAGCCTCAGGTAAGCACGGCACTTGTCTCTTTTCTACCTCTTACATCTCTGATTTTCCATTCTGTGTCTTACTTAGCTGCAAGAGC